AAAACAGCTTGTGATCACTTTACAGGATGCTCAGTGGTTCACAGAGATGCAAAGAGAACATTTTTAGAAGTGTGTTGAAGGTGAGACCAATGTGTCCAACAAGCTTCAGGAATTAAATACTGGTTTGAGTTTTACAAGCTGAAACTTAGAGGAGGGCGTGGGATTCCAAGCAGGTGGAGTCACATTTCATTGAAAACAGTGAAGACAGTGGTTTTCAGATTTTGAAAACAACTGGGGAGCATCTGTACTTTTGGTTCTTTTTCTAGTTGAAGGCTCTTGGAAAATGTGGGTTGCTTTGCAAAAAAAGTTCACAATGTTGATTGGCACTGGTGAAATATGAAAATTATACTTGCTTTCCAGATTTGATTTTTTGTGGGGGCGGTCAGTTGTATACATTAAAAAGTCCCCCATCTCCTATATTCAAGATGCCAGTGACTTCATAATGAATAGGTAAAACAAACATTTAGGAATTCTAATAAAATTAGAAGTCTTGAATAAATATATTTCTCTAGTATAATGTGCTGGCTTCGAAAAAAATGATTTCCTTTTTATTTGAAGTGGTTAGTTTCCAAAGAATAGCTCTCATGAAAATAGTTATCTCTTTTGAAATGTCAATGATTTTTTTTGAACTTTTTATTTTGTCCTGGGGTATAGTTGATTAACAACATTGTTAGTTTCAGGGGAACAGTGAAGGGACTCAGCCATACATGCTTATCTATCCATTCTCCTCTAAACCCCTCTCCCATCCAGCTACCACATAACATTGAGCAGAGTCCCTTGTGCTATACAGTAAGATCTTGTTGGTTATCCACTTTAAATAGAGCAGTATGTACATGACCTTCCCAAACTCCCTAACTATCCCTTCCCATTGGCAACTGGAAATGTCAATGATTTTTGTATTAGAAAATCAAAATTTCTTTAAAACCTAAGAAAACCATGTCCTCTTTTGTTACAAACCTTTGTGATTAAGTTAAATAATTAACTTTTTTTTTTTTTAGCCAGGAAAAGAAAGATAATTGTTTGTGAACACTAGTTTATTTATAGTACTAACAAGATTGCAGGGGAAATGATCATGCTACCTAAGATAAATTATTTTAAACTTTGGCACACTGTTTTCATAAGTCATACCAAATAATTATTCTCACAACAAATAATTATACTTGATGTGGTTGTACTAGTTTATGCTCGTGAACCCTGGAATGATGGTGCCAGAGAGGACTCATCTAGTGACCAAATCTGTATTTGGCCATTAAAGGCAACAAGTTCCCTGAAAACCTGCATCTGAAAGTAATGAAACATCTAAAAATCTTTCAGTTTGAACTTCTACTTTTTCCTAACAGTTCCTCATGTCCATTCCATGTTCTTGTCTGCATTTCCACTTCTCCTGGTCTTATGTTTGTTTATTGAGAAAATATCACGTACAGTGCCTGCTCTGTATGAGATATTACCCAGACACTAGCATAAGACAAAGCCCCTGCCCCCAACAGGTTGGCCTTGAAGTGGAGCTGAGACCCACACAAGAGCTAAGCCATGAAACAAGACCACATGTGAACGAGTGCCATGGGAGGTGTAGAGTGCTATGGAATTTCATAGACGGAGTGGCGGGGAGTCACTGGCAGCCTTTGTTAAAGAAAAAAAATGACAGCAGAAATCTTTCCAGTTGCTTTGAGTTTTTAGGGGAATCCTTCAGATTTCTGGGCTTAACTTTCTTATGATAAGTGTTGAGTAAAATCATAGCCTGTACTCCATGACTGGCTTGAGGCATGCCCATTCTAAAATGCTTGTGATCGCAGGTTTTAAAATTTGAGACATAATTCAGTCCAGGGAGAGGCCAGTATTTGGCAGGCAAAGAATGAGTATGTCTGCCAGTACTATCAGAGCCCTTTGAAAAAAACGTTTTTTAACATTTGTCTGAATTTGGGACTGGGGGCAAGTGCCTAAAATGAAAATTTTATCTTCCTTTTTATGATCAAAACCAACTTTAGACTATTAACTAGTTTGTTAGAAATAAAAGTTGGCACAGAATTTGAAATGATTATTATTAAGGGTAGACCCCTGGTTTGGGAGTGGATTTTATTTTATTTCAAGTGACATTACTGTGAATATAGATCTATAGCTGTCTAATCTTGTATGCAGAATAGCAAACTGTTATCATTAAGTTTCTGGTAGGTATGAAAAATTAACATACGGGAGATAAATTATGATTTCACTGTATGTAGCAACTACTAAGAGGAATTCATTGGTGTCTAGAGGGAAACAGTACCTAAAAATTGGAAAGGAGCCTCTGTTGGCCGTTTAAAGTCAGGAGAGTTGACTTAAGTCAAAAGGAAAGGAAAATACCCTGGAATTGAAAGTTAAGTGTTATAAAGATGCCATCAAAGGGAGGTTGTGGAATCTCCTTTTCTGGAAATGTTTAAAAACAACACAGATCTTCATCTCTCAGGAGAAATGTTGAAATTCTGTCCTGCCTTGAGGCAGGAAGATTAACTGGATTATGCCTGTGTGGTCTCTCAAGTCTTTGGAAGAGCCCTAGAATGCAGTAAATATTTCACACTCTTTTGGCTGGAACTGTTGTTTCGTAGCTGTTCATTTTAACCTTGGTTATTATGAGACCAGAGTGAGTGTTTGTATACATAACAAAATTGAATTTTGATTTGAGGTTGATGATATAAGTTGTGTGTGGACCTGAATCCATTTAAAAGCACTGAAGTACAGATGGTGCTGAAACTATTCAGAGTGTAACTTAGTCTTTTGATGATGTGGAATGTACCAAGGTCTTAATGCCAGTTATCATTTAATAAATAATTATAAAGCAACTACTGTGGACACTGCATGATACAAATAAGAATTAGGTATGGTCCCTGCTTTCAAGGACCTTTGTTTAGCAGTGGAGGTAAAACCTATGCACAGATCATACACATGGTAAGTGAAAAAATAATTGGTAGGAGTCACAAAAATAGGATTTAACTGTGTTGTGAGAGTGCAGAGAAGAGAAAGCTAATCCCTTTGGGTTTAACCAAAGAATGCTTCCTGAACGAAAAATATATTGGCATGGGCTTTAAGGAGTATGAAGCATTTTGAAGGGTGGAAACGAAGCAAATGACAGGGGTGGAATTATACCTAGTAACTCCGAGGTATGGACAAGTTCAGCTGAAGCATGTGGCTGTTGGGAGGCTTAGGCTGGAACATTCCCTTAGGGCCAGTTTCTAGGATCAGGTCAGAGTGTTTGTTTCTTGCGTGCCCAGTGTTTACAATCCCTTGGAAATGATTAAACCTTCAAGAGTCTCTGTCCACAGGAGGATTGCATTTTACTATTGGGGTTGCATGGAGGAGCGGCGAAGGCTGGGACAAGGAGCCAAGAAAATAGCTGCTGAGTCACCTGCGTCAGTTAGCTTGAGGAGTAGGAGGGTGATGCTGAGAAACACTAGCTTCAGGGCACGTTAATGGGTGTTACTCAAGAAAGGGTCCCTGGGCTTCCCAGATGGCTCAGTGGTAAAGAATCTGCCTGGGAGACACAGGTTCCATCCTTAGATCAGGAAGATCCTCTGGAGAAGGCAATGGCAACCCACTCCAGTACTCTTGCCTGGGAAATCCCATGGACAGAGGAGCCTGGCAGGCTATAGGCCATGGGGTCACAAAGAGTCGGACGTGACTTAGCGACTAAACAACAAGAAAGGGCCTCTTCATCAAAAGAAACTGGAGAAATAAAGTGACACAACCAAATGGGTTTATGTATGGATACCAAGGGGGAGAATTGGGAGATCGGGATTGATATTTAATACATATACACTGTCGATACTATCTGAAAAATAGATAACTAATGAGAACATACTGTATCGAACAGGAAATTCTATCTAATGTGCTGTGGTGACCTGGATGGGAAGGATAGTCCAGAAGGGAGGGGATATATGTCCCTCCCCATATATCCCCTTTTATATCCCCATATATGTCTCCATGGCTGATTAATTTTGCTGTACAGTAGAAACGCAACTTGGTAAAGCAACTATACTCCAATAAAAATGAATTTTTAAAAAATGGGTTTATTTGCTGAAGACTTTCAGCACCTTTAATGTTGAGAATTGCATAGAAAATCTTAAACAGGGTAAAATATGTACCATTTCCAACATGGTGTAATCTTTATTTCATGGACTGTCTCATGAAACTGCTGTTCCTTGGTGCATACTGTGGGGAGCGTTGCCCTGTACATGTGGTAAAGATGGCTGGAACATGAGTGGTGGTCATATGCATGGAAAACAGTGATTAGATGTGTGTCCTTATGGAGCAGGGAAGCCTGGAGTGCTGCAGTCCATAGGGTCGCAAAGAGTTGGACACGACTGAGCGACTGAACTGAACTGAACTGATAGGGTAGCATCAACTGTTCCTAGTGCATAGTAGGCATTCAGTAACTATACAGAAAGCTAAAGCATGCAAGAGTGAATTGATACATTAACAATACTTGGCCCAGGATTGGGAGTCTGAGATTTCTGGAAATGTGGAAAGTTTTGACAAACCTTTAGCTATGCTAGAAATGATAAGGTCATGGAAAGTTAGATGGGACTGATTTCAGTGAAAGTTGATCACTTTAGTGTTTCTTGTGAAGCCATGGAACACCCACCATGGAAGGTCTGCCTGGTCCACCGTTTCAGCATCTGCTAAAACTGCAGACTTGGGAGACAAGCCATTGTCTTTTCTCACTAAGTGTATAATTTAAAATATTTTGGCTAAGAAGTCTGCTTGTTTGAATGTGAAGTAAGTAGCAATTTTCATATACAATTTAGTCTAATACAAGAAAATAACCTTGTATTTCTTGTAATACAAGAAAATAGCCAATTTAGTCTGAAAGAAACTTCAGGGTTAATAAAGCGTCAGACTTCTGGTTTTTGTTTTTTCTTTTAAATCAGACAGAAGCAGGCATCCTCATCGGTGAGTTTTTTTTTCAGTCTGATTTACTCATGGAAGTTAATCAGTTTTTAAGTTTAATATTCTGTTCTTTCATCCAGGTATTTGCATTTGATTATTGCTTTTGGTCCATGGATGAATCTAACACTACAAAATATGCTGGTAAGTTGATTGTCTCTCTGTACTTAATGTTGGGCCTCTGGCCTCTTCTACCGTTAGGTCTGTTTTCTTTAATTATTCTGGAGTTCTGTTTTTTCCATAAAATTTGCACTCATTCTTTCCAATTCTAGCATGTGGGCTTTGAATCCAGTAAGATTTGGTTTTAGGATCTGGCTCAGCCACGTACTTGCTAAGAAACTGAAGACAGGTTCCCCCTCCCTGCCCCCAAGCTCCTTGAGCTTCAGATTCTTCACCTGTAAAGGGGATATGAAGTGTCTTTAGAGATGTTCCAAGGATTAGAGATAACGGGGAACCACCTCAAGCTGTCTTGTGGTTACCACACAAAGAGGAGGTTGAATGTGTCCTGTCTTCCCTCATCTCTGACTTGTAGAGGATGCTCTGCTCATTTAAACAAGCAAAGCACAGATGCCATTGGTTTACAGGACCCTCTCACGTCCTGAGTGTTCTAGAGTAGTCAGTGGTGATGTGAACTAAAGGTCTTCTTTCTTCAGGGAAACATGGCCTCCTGGCCCCACGTTTTGCTACTGTTCCTTCCTTTTGAGGCATTTTATCCCTACTTCATTAAATAGAAATGACTGCTATTAATAATTTTATTATTTGTGATCACAGGTGAATCTTCACCTTTCCTAAGAGTTAAAATAAGCTCAAGAGGGAAGCACTTGTTTTAGTGGAGGAGGTCTTCATTCCTTTCCTTCTGACTGTGACCCCTTTTCTTAAATACATCGTCTTAATGAGTATTTTCTACTTAAGAGAATCTCAGCTGGGACTTCCCTGGTGGTCCAGTGGCTAAGACTCCAAGCTCCCAATGCAGGGGGCCCAGGTTCCATCCCTCATCAGGAAACTAGATCCCACATGCCGTAACTAAGAGTCCACATGACTGACTAAGACCTGTTGCAGCTAAATAAATACATACATACATAAATATTCAAAAAAAAGAATCTCAGTTGAATGACTTTTCCATTTACTGAACGAAAGGGCAAGAGGATAATGGAGAGGCTGTAGATGTTAAAAGATTAGAAGGCAAAGGAAGTCATCTGGTTGTAGGAAATTTTGTTTCTAGATAACCTTTTCCTTGCCACGTAAAGAAAATTTGCTGAGAAATGATCTGATATATAGCTTTTTCAAAAGTTAATCTTGAAGTTGGAAAATTCCTTCCGGGGCTCACATTGGGTAAATAAGCCTTCTTTCCAAACATCATTCCTGCAACTTCAGCAGTGTATTTTATTAATGTGAGTAAATAATTTTTAATGTTGGCTGTAATTAATTTGTCTTTTTATTAGTCCTTTGGGATGCTCGATAATATATTCTACAGTCTGCCTTGACTGTTAGCACTGTGTGTACTTTCATTCTGGATGTGTGCTTTTGGATTTAAATAAGACACTTCATACTGTGACAGAAATAAATGAGGACAAATGTTATGGCTATACAAAGCACAGTCTCTGATTCTGTTCAATGGATATTATTCAGGATGTAGTCAGATATAGCTCCCTGGATTAAAACTCTTAACGAAATTCTCGAATGCTTTAGAGGACTCCTCATCACTTATAGATAAAATCTATACTCCTTGGATGACATTTAAGGTCCTTTATTATTAATATATAACCCCGTCTACCTTCCCTACCCACTGCTCCCTGTCTCCCTACCGTCCATTCTGTGCCCCAGCCCGGTGTGATTGTTTGTTCTTCTTATTTAACCCAGGAAGCCAGAAAGATTCAGAATAGTTCCTTAAATATTCATCAAACCCCTACTGTGTGTGCAACCAAGGAAGCCCTTGAGAAATTAAAACCTAAGCTGGAAAGCAAAAGAATGCAAACAAATAGCAGTAAGCATTTGGAGATAATATTTAACCTCAAAATTTTACAGGTTGTAAGTACTATAGAAAACCCAAAGAGAGGCAAAACCTGAGAAGACTGAAGTTGCCTGGGAAGAAATCATAGAGGAAGTGTGGGACTGTAACTGGACGTAAAAGTTTCGCATAGATGTAACCAAAGGGCAGTGTGGCAGGCAGGCTTCCCAGGTGGCTGAGTAGTAAAGAATCCACCTGCCAGTGCAGGAGATGCAGGAGATGCGAGTTTGATCCCTCGGTGGGGAAGATCCCCCGGAGGAGGAAATGGCCACCCCACTCCAGTATTCTTGCCTGGAGAACTCTATGGACAGAGGAGGCTGGCAGGTTACAGTTCATGGGGTCACATAGAGTCGAACAGGACTGAGCACACACACAGTATGGAGGGCATCCCGACGAGAGGAAGCGTATGGTGTCAAGGAAAGCGTGTGGGCTCTGAAGTCCACTCTGGTTTAAGTCTCAGGAGGCTTGCTTTGATTCTCTCAGACAATTTAATCTTTCTGAGCTATAGTTTCTTTTCTGTAAAATGGGAAGCATGTCAATGATAGGACTTAGATGTTGTTATAAGGGTTTAGTAGGTACCTTCATGAGCTGACCAGTGGAAGGTACCCGTAAATACTTCATTTGGCTTTTTCATAAGTGAGGGTGCAGAAGTGAAAGTGAGCATGATGTGTAAAACTGGTCCAAGCAGAAGATGCATCTTATGGGGAATCAGTGAGAGACTTACTTGTACATGTTGAATGAAGCCAGACAACAGGAAATTTTAAAAAGCTAGGCTAAGAACTGTAAAAAAAAAAAAAAAAAAAAAAAGAGGCTGTTGGAGTGATGTGGTTAGTAGAATATTTTAGGAAGATTGTTTTTCTTTCTTTTCCACATCTCTACAATCATGTCCTCCATTAACTGCCCATAGAGACCATCCTAGCATTCTGCAATGTATCACTCATACTTCTGAATGTAAATTTTTTTCCTACTGGAAATAACCTTATTAAGTACAGATGATAAAATTCAAATGTGAAAGTCAAGATTTCTGTAGCTTTTCACTACATATAGTATGTTGATGAATATATAAAAAGATAAAAATGCTTTCTAAACATACTGATAGCCTAAACTTTACTAAATCTTTGCTTGCTTGATCACAGTAAATTCCAAGTTCCAATTAGCCTTAAACAGGATTTTCTTGATTGATAGAGTAGAATCTATTTACAAAGTGTGGGGTGAAAGTTTCTTATTCTTTAGACATTCCTGTTATTGTACAAATGCTGTGATCACCTCAGCAGTAAATTGTTGCTCACCACTCTCTCAGGTTTTTTGGCACTCATTGCAAATAATCTGCCCAGTAAATATATTGCTAATAGATTAGTTGAATGGTTTCTGTACTAATTTGATTTACTTTTTTAAATTCGATTTTTATTTTTAAAATTTATTTATTTTTAATTGGAAGATACTGCTTTACAGTGTCGTATTGGCTTCTGCCGTATAGTCAATTTTTATTTTATATTGAATTATAGTTTGATTTCTTTTCTCTTTAGTAAGGAAAAAAAACGTGATTCCTTCTTAATTGTGAATGGAAACATTAAGATAGAAACATTCATTCTCTGATCGGGTATAGAGGAAACGGAGAAGGGGAAGCACATAGTTCCTGAAACCGACCTATTTGTCAGGCTCAATAAAGAATGGCATCATTGATACTGAATCAGAGCTGTTGAGGCAGCTCTCAAAACTCGGGGGGCAGAGAGGAGGTGGGAGGGAGAGAGATGAGTGCCTGGACTGAAAGAGCAAAGGGAGGCTCTCAATTTCACGGGGTGTGTCAATGTTCAATTCTAAGTTATGTTTTATGTTACTATATTTATTAAAGGCTACTACAGCAAGCAGGAGCTTCCACTCTCAGGCTAATGTAGAAATCCATAATTCTGTAGTAGGTTTAAGGGCACAGCACTGTGTTGGGTGGAGCGGTGGAAGCATGTGGGTTTTTAGATCAAACTGCCTGGGTTCCAGTCCCGCCTCCAGCACCTTTTTATCTGTGTCAGGTCAGGCGAGTTCTGTTTCTTCTTAGGTTACGTAATTATATTAATCCTGCTCCCATAGGTTGAACTGAATGACCTGTTCATGTAAAGTACCTTAAACCATAGGAAAAGCTCACTTAATATTTATCATCATCTTTATCACTGTCTCGCTATAGCAGTAGTAAGGATAGTAGCATCAGTATCTTTGGAGAGAAAATGCGTTGTATGTGCTGGTACCTATGAGACCTGCTTTTGCCACAGACTGCTAAACTTTGGGAGTGTCTGTTTCTTCATCAGTAGAGGGAGGATCTGTGGCCTAGAATGGTCTCAGATCTCCTCCAGCTCTCGGATTAAACATGAATCAGACATTTTATGCTGGCCGCACAGCTGTTGCAGTGGACTTTTCAGAGGCAAATCAAAGGCTTGTTTGTTAAGCCGTTTGAATTGCATTGAATCATGCTTTGAGACATTGCACATTTTAATTATATTATTGCTTATTACTACCTTTTGGTTAGTGAGTCATAATAATGCTTGTCTGTGCATTGTTCTGAATCTTTAAGCAAAAACCTCTGTGACGGGGCTTAAAAAAAAAACAAGTAACCTGCAGAATTAGGCGTTCAAAACATGGCATTTCTACGTAAACCCATTTCTCCTCCCCTTCCCAAGCCCATAAATACATATATGTAAACATAGATCCACACTCAGGATTAAAAAGTCAAGTAATCCTGCTGAAGGGCCATTATTAAGAAAGCCATTACCTCTCCATTATTTTCAGTAATTAAAAAAAAGCTTATTATAGTGAAATTTTAGAGCACCGTAACAGATAATAGGTCTTTGTAAATGTTTAAATCACCATTAATTTCATTTAAGGGCTTCTTGGCCATAAACCAATACATTTTTTATCATGTGCCTAAAATGTGTCAGGTTGGTAAATAACAATGACTTTCAGTAACCTTGGTTTCACTTTTCTTCCTATTAGGAGAATATTTTTCATAAACTTGTTTTTCTATAAATCTTCATACCAAATAGAAATTGGTCTGTGATGGCATTTCTGGGGAATTTATGTGGACGTGAACGTTTCCTGACCTGAGAGTCTAAACTGTTGACTTAGAAATTATATAACAGTTCTCACCATA